ATCATCAATTTTCAGTGTCTGCTGAGCCATTCCCTTAAAGCCCATCACTGCACTCTGACACTTGATCCTACGTTGTTTCACAACTGTCAAACAAATGTTCCCAAGGGTGATTTTTCATGAAGACAGTGCCTTCTGGTGGCCAGATGTGTTTATTCCTGATAGCTCTAATCCAGAGAGAAATCTAGGGCCTCTGGGATTCTATTCTTTTCAGAACAGAATAATATTGGAGTGCCTTCCAGTAGTGCAACATGTCTAGCATCTGTCACATGTGGTTCATTCTCTCCCTCTCAAATTCTCCCCAGAAGGAGAATTATGGGTTTTATAGGGCTTTCTTTTGTTTTGTTTTTTTAATATACACATTGCTGTGTGTTTGTTAGACAAGGCAGATCAATGAAGTTTGCCTTGCACTTGAAGCTGAAGGTGGTGAAGTTTATGATGGTCCTTACTTCATGTGGGAGTTCACTCCATAGTCGTGGACCAGTCCCCAAGAAAACTGTCTCTGGTACAATTGAGCTTTACCCTTATGGTAGAAATTTCCATTGTGTCTGAAAAGTGGAGTGTCACGGAGTCCCCGGGCGATGCTCTGGAACTTCTCCCCACAAAGCCAGTCAGGACTTTGGGGAGCCTCCTCTCCGTTGGAGCAGACTGTCTTCAGGGCAAGAAACTTATATGGCTTCACCTCCTGGGTCTCTCCTTGGAGCATTCAGCATATGTCCCTCCGTGCGCTTCCCACAGCGAGTCCGCCCAGCCGGGGTCCTGGGGAAACCAAAGGGTCCTGCACGCACCCCCACTTCGCAGTCAGACGTGACTCTTAGCCAGCCAGTAAAACAGAGGTTTATTAGATGACAGGAACACAGTCTAAAACAGAGCTTGTAGGTACCGAGAACGGGACCCCTCAGCCAGGTCCATTCTGGGGTCCAGCAAGGCAGACACCCCCTTCTGCCCTCACTTCCTGTCCCCAGCCAGCTCCAAACTGAAACCCTCTCCGGCCACTCCTTTCTGGCCTTTGTCTCTTTCCCGGGCCAGGAGGTCACCTGATCTCTTTGTTCACCTTTAGTTATTCCCTTGCAGGGGGGAAGGGTTCTGGCCATTTGTTGCTAGGAGACAGATTGTCAGCCATTTATGCACACTGGAGACTTAAGAAATGCATAGGGGAAACTGAGGCACCCACACAATATTCAGAGGAAACATTATGAACAGTCCCACTTCGTCATATGGAGTTGTCATCCTTCATTCAGCACCTTGAAGATAAGGCCCAAGATCTTGAATTTGATTCACTGCTCTATGGGAAGTGTGGAGAGCAGAGCATGGGTTTGATGTAGTGGCTGAGGAAACATGCTGCAGCATTCTAGCTGGCGTTTCCTAAGAGCTGATGACTTCATGCCCAAATGCACTGCACTGCTTGTGACACACAGGCCCACTTATGGTTCACTACTCCATGTTAGCAACTCTTGTCAGGCCTGACATACTCATTACACCTCACGCACTGGTGTCACGATATTTAGTTAAAAGGTGACATGTAATATAATATGTCTAGCTAATGAAATCTAATAACACACTGGCCATTAATGTCACTGTAAAATGTTTAACACCTCGGTAGGTGAAATCATGGATACTCTCTGATGATATGTCCAGGAGACTATAAACAGACAAAGGTGACAAACAGGTTTTTTCTATATAAAGGGGAAAGAAACTATGGTGGCAGATGCCCAGTCTAGGAAAGAGGGCTCTGACCTACTGCCTCAAAGTCAGCGGATGGCTCCTAGGCTGGGAGCTACAGTGGCAAAGCATTGTGGGGTACTCAGGGTTACAGGGTAAGAAGTAACACAACCCCTCACTGGTCTGGATTGCACCCTGAACTCTCTGACACTGCTGTAGTCCAGACTGGACATGACAAAAGTATGAATAACCAAGGTCAGGATGAACTGGTGTCTCCTAGCCAGCTGAAAATGATAGCATCTATGAGCAATACTTTCTATTACATGAGATCTTAGCATCAGTGAGGAATCCAAGAACAATCCTAAACTACAAACTGAATTGACAAATTGTAGGGTGCGTACCTTCAAGCTAAGTGTACTGCACCATAGCTGCAAACTCAAAGTGCTTTCTTCTGCCCACCACAACTAAGGAGTCTATTGATGGATTCATTCTCAGGCAAGTTAGGGACACATTCTGCATTAATTTCATATTCGCCTTTTGGCTAAAATATCTGTTTCACAACTGATAAGTTCTCTAGTGGCAGAGTCTATCCTGCACATGATGTTGTTTGGTAACTACAGGAGCCATTTGTAGTAAAACAAGCTTTTTCTCCTTCACAACTTGTCTGCTCTTTCATCTTACCCCTAGTGCCAAATTCCTCCCAATGAAGCTTCATGGGTGCAAATCAGGGCAGAATTTGGCCTATTATACTGAATTTGTGACATCACAATACATTCTGTATGTGGCAATTTCAACTTTAACATTAGGGACTGTGACTTCCCTGCAGGATCTAGCAAAAGGCTTAGGTAGGCCATGAGAGAGAAGCCCTCTTTCAAAACATAAATATCTTTACTAATAGCAAAGTGTAAAAATCAAACTATACATGTTTGGGTGTTCTTTTCAAACTTTTTTTTTTTCAATTTTGATATAGTATTAAGGAAGGTCCACCTTTAAATACAAAGTTGAATGTGATGTGTTATAACATGTGCCTGCTTCTGGCTTGCAAGTGATAACTTTTTGTAAAACTTTAATCAGATGCTCTTTGCTTCTGGAAACAAATGCATTTTTGAGTAACTCATAGCGTCAAAGTAGCTAATCACAAGTAAAGGCAAGTTTTACCAGTTTGGGCATAGACAAGTCCTTGCACATTTCAGGCCTAATCTTTAAGGTGCTGATCACTTCCTGTAGGGTGCTGAATTCCATCAACTTTCCTTTAAATTAGTGGGAGTCAGGAGTGCTGAGCGTCTCCTCAGAATTAGGTCCTTCCAAGACAGAGACAAAGACTAATTTGGGCTGTGGTTAGTGATTTGGTCGAAAACTAAATTAAAAGCAGCAACTGGATATTTTCCCTTCTGTATTGCTCAACCCTAAATTTGTTTGAACATATGGGGGAAAATAATCCTTGTTCTAACTGCATTGAAAACAATTGAGTTACAGCTCCAATTAATTTGGCTTTATTGAGTGACAGGATTTAGGAAAAGCGCGCTCACTCTCTCTCTGTCTCACACACACACACATACACACACACTGGTGGGCAGTCTGACACCCTGGCACCAGGGTGGTGTGAGGGCATGGAGGGGGGTAGAGTGACACCCTGGCATAGGGGTGGTGTGTGTGTGGGGGGGAGTGGAGTGACATCCTGGCACTATTATTATTTGGTGTATGTAATCTGGTCAAGCCAAGCCACAGCATTCTTATGAACTATGTTCAAGGCACAAAGACCTCCAGGAAGTTGAGTCATTTTGTAGTCCTCAACAATGTGTGTCATGGTTTGGGGCTGCCCACATTGACATAGTGGACTGTCTCTGAAACGTCACCGAAATTCCGCTGCAGCACAAATTCCATGTTCAGTATGAAACTGGCTCAGAAGGCTCCATTGCCTTAGTGGTAAATCAACCCTGGATTGACATTGAGTGGGGTCTCAGAAAAGATAATTGTCATTTTCTCTGTGGACCAGGAAGCTCACCACTCATTCTCTATTGTAAATCCCTCGCCCGGTAAACTTATCCACAAAGGGCAACGTGAGGGCAGATGCCCATTTGGTGGATTAAACAAGTCTTTATTTAACAGTAGATGTGGCATATCAGGCAATTTCGTCACAAGCTTTGCTATGCTTTCCTCTCTGTAAACACTGGGCAGAGCAATATTGCAGAGAACCGGTAACCATGGTAGAGGAGTAATGCCCCTAGCACTGGGGCAGTGTGAGGGTATAGGGGAGTGGGATGTGTGCTGGCACTGGGGTGGTATGATGGCATTGGGTGGGACACTTTTATGCCTTGGCATTGGGGCAGTGTGAGGGCATGGTGGTGGGGGTGGTATGACCCCGACACTGGGGCAGGGCGTGGGGTGTGGTGGGAGCGGTGGGAAGCCCTGGCACAAGAGTGATCTGAGGGTGTGGGGGAGTGACATGAATCCTGGCACTGAGGCAGTGTGATGGTGCAGTGGGGGTGGTGTGAGGGCATGGTGGAGGGTGGTGGGATGCCCTGGCATTGGGGTGGTGTGAGAGGATTGCTGGGGGCAGTGTGACCCATTGGCGCAGTGTATGGGCGTGGTGAGAGGCAATGTGCTGCCCTGACACTGGGGTTGCATGAGAGCATGTTGTGGGGGAGGTGGAGTGATGCTCCAGCACTGGGGCAGTATGAGGGTGTGATGTGGGGGTGGTGGGGAGTGGTGATGGGAGGGGGTGGTGGGTGGCAGAGTGATGCTAAGGGCCACTGGGGGGGGCAAGTGGGGCAATTTGCCCCAGGCCCCCACGAGAATATAGTATTCTATAGTATTGCAACTTTTTTTAATGGAAGGGGCCCCCCAAATTGCTTTGCCCCAGGCCCCCTGAATCCTCTGGGCGGCCCTGGTGATGCTTTGGCACTGCGGCTGTGTGGGGGCGTGGGAGGGTATGCCCTGGCAGGGGGGTAGGAGGCTTTGGGACGGGGGCACAATGTGAGGGCGGGGAAGGGGATGACCCCATGGGGCGATCCCTGACACTGGGGCGATGTGAAGGAGTGGGGAAAAGTGCCGGGTGGGTGGGGATTCCTTGGCCCGGGGGCAGTGAGAGGCTGTGGTGGGGGGCGGTGTGAGCGGTAGGATCCCTGGTACTGGGGCGGTGTGAGGCGGGGGGCAGCGCAGTGTCACCCGGTGAAGCTCCCACCCCAGGCTGCCCGAGGGGACCAGCAGGCGGAGCCCCGCCCCCTGGGGCGAGGGGCACAGAGAGGGCGTCTCCCTGCCTGGCTCGGGCGCCGGCAAACTCTGGGTCCTGTGGCGGGCGGGAGAGCTGCGGGCCCGGCCAGCCCCGCCGCCTCCCCCGCCCGGGGCCAGGCGGAGCCAGCAGCGGGAGGAGGAGCGGGTGAGAGGTCGGCCAGCTCCGGTCGCCCACAGAGGCTGAGTCCCGGGCAGAGAGGGCGGCGGCGGCGCCCGGCGGTGAGTGCGGCGGCCCAGCGGGGCGGGGGGCAGGGAAAGGGCTCGGCTCACTCCCCGCACGCGCCGGGGGGACATCGCGGCTGGCGGCGCCCAGCAGACCAGTGGCCCGTGCGGCCGCTCTCCGCTGTGGCCCTCCCCGGCGTGTCTGGCTCGGCGGGTGAGGTGACTGAGACCCCGCACCTCCCTCCCGCCCCCACCACTCCTCTGCTGAGGCTGGCCCTGGGGGAAGGTGACTCCTGAGACCCCCAGCGTGGCTGGCATTGGGGGAGAGCCGAGGTGCCTCCTGAGACACCCGCCCACACACACACACACGCCTGTCCGCCCGGGCGTGGCTGGCAGTGGGAGAGCGAGGGGTGATATTCACATGCTCCTCCAGTGCGGTTAGCACAGGGCAAATGGTTATTGAACTCCTCTCCCTGCATGGAGTGTGCGCCTGCTTATAGGAGTGCCAGAGTTGGAAGTGATGGCAGGGTTCTGGGAGTGACTTATTACAGGAACTTCCCAGCAGGTGTGGAAATAGCACCTACCCTGGCTGGCTAGTCTAGTTTTCCACTTGCTGCTGCCCCTTCAGCCACTTCCTTAGATTTGAATCAACCCTGCTCAAACACCTTCTGCCCCATCTTGGTGATCCTGCTAAATGTATCAGGTAATAGTCTTTGTATCAGAGGGGGTCGCCGTGTTAGTCTGTATCCACAAAAACAGCTAGGAGTCCGGTGGCACCTTAAGGTGCCTCCGAATTCCTCGTTTTTGTAATAGTCCTTGATACTGTTACAGGTAGGAAAAGGAAATAATTGTTCCCATCAAGGCAGACAGGATATGACAGGACTTAAAACTATGGTAGAACACATTGTCTAGGGATTGTCTGGTGATAGTTGCCACTTTATTACTGAATACTTACTATTTTTCCCCAGGTGAATAGACTGGCAAAACTAGTCTTAAGGGAAATGTGGTAACAGAAAGAAAGAAGGGAGTTAATTAACGTGTCCTGTCATGTTTAGTGTTTGCCTGTTTGCCATGTTTGGCTTGTTTGCTGCTGGGAAGGAAACATGCAACTTGTTGAAAATTCCATCTGGCTCTAAACTCTATCATCTTTCTTCTCATCCTTATTACCTCTTTATCCCCTATGCCCCGTGCTGCTTTTGAGGACAGAATGTTTACATTCACTAGTGTAATGACAGTTGTTTCAGAGGCTGGTATACTGCCTACAGAGAATCTTTTAGCTGATGTCAAAAAGTGTATTTGTTTTAAGAAAGAGTTTGGCTCTGCCTTTAACGTGTATTAAACCTTCGAAATATTGCACATCATCTTATGCTTGTGGGTAGCAGTCTCTGGTGTTTCAGCTGCAGAAGTGAATGGATAAATCGGATAATGACAGATCTAAATCAGCAAACATTTTAGTTAGCAAGTTTGTGGGATTTTTTTAACTCCCCCCACAAATTTCATTAAAACAATTTTGCATTAAAGCCACATATATTTAGACTGATTTTATTTAATTTCAGTTAGTTACATATCCCTACTAAAAACCTCACTCATTTATTAAAAAAATACACTGAGTATGTAGCTATAAAAGTTCTTATTAAACAAAAACATATTTGGAATAAGTATCCTTGTCCATCCATTGTGAATACGGATTAATTTTTATTCAGTATGTCTTTATAGTGTTTGTTAGTGATCTGAGCATGAGGCTGGAGTCAGAAACTGCTGCAATCTAATCCTAGTGTTGACACTGATTTGCTGTGTGGCCATGAACAAATCACTTAAAGCTGTGTCTCATTTTCCACATCTGTAAAGTGGGAATCACAAAATTCCACAAAGGAAAGTTGTGTTGATTAAGGCCCCTATTTGTGTGGGCAGACAAGGACTTCATTGGGGCTCTATGCTGGTTGAGTAGTCTGTCTTCATGAAACAAGTTGCAGATTGGGTCTAATTAGTGCATTGAAGTAGAAACATGTTATATTATTAATCAAAATGTGTTTCACCAAAACTTGAGACTTGTTTTATATTTATATATATACATATATATAAATGCATTTTAGTCATTCTTAAACTGCAATATCATATGCCAGGCTAATATTCATGATGTTTTTAATGAGAGAAATTCTTTAACATCCATCTAGATGATGTTTGAATTATATTTTTAGCATTATGTATAGAATAATATTTAAAGTGATTCGTCACATTTTCCCCAATATTGCAATTAATTTAGAGCTAATCATAATAGGTTATTAGTTTGTATTTACGCTAATTGTAGATTAGCTTGAAATAAAACTCCATGAGTAAGTGACCAGTACTGTATAGTAGTAATATTTTGTGCTGGTCCAACACAAACTAAATGAGATTAAAGGATTAGTATACAGTTAATGACTTCTAAATCCCCTATTTCATCTCTTCCCTCTCCCCCCGCCCCATTGTATATATTAGAGCAATTTGGGAGCTCTTTAATCAAGTGTTAAAGTGTCAGAATACATTTCATGAATTGCTTTCCCTTAGAAATTAAGTAGTGCAATAAAGCAATCTTATCTGGATAATTATAAAGCTAATCAAGGTACATGCATTTAGTAATGAAACACTTCAAAATTGTTTTGAGACTTCTAACTTCAACTCTTTTTTTAGGATACATTGCTGTCTCAGAAGTATACATACTTTAATTCTATTTTAATCTTTTAGCACACATACTGAGTTATACAAATATACATTTCAGCTACTTGTTTCATTTTAAATAATATGTATAATTCAGATCTGTAATTATGTAGTAACTAATTCTGTGGATACTAAAGGTCTGAATTCTTGGGCCCTGATCCTGCAAAAGCTCAGGACCTTGGAGCCTAACTCATAAACAATGTGTCTGTGGCTCTAAGAGTACAACCTGTGGAATATCTTGGGTGCTGGCTCCACAGCAGGCGTATGTGTTCTTGGGATATTGGGTCTGTCTTGGAAGATATTAAACAACATAAGTTTTACAGAAGGCAGTAGCTCAATTGCTGTACAGGCAAAGCTCCCCAACTCCTGATTCTTGGTCTGTTGGTTAGGCCCTGCAGTAGAAGCAAACCAATAGGAATTATTCCAGCAGCCTGGTTCTAATGAACTGACCTACCCTATCCCATAATACAAGAACAAACACAGACTAAATGAAATTGACAAATTTTAAAATGAATAAAAAGTACTTTTTATGCAATATAAAATTAACGTGTGAAATTCGCTGCCACAGAAATAAGCAAGTAATTTAAGGATTAGAGCCATCTAGAAATGAAATTAGCATCTGCATTTATAAAATAAAGAATAAAAATGACAATCAGCCCTCTTGCTTTAGTGTATAAAGGGCCAATGGCCTGAACCTGCTTAAATTGAAATCAATAATAAAATGTATTAACTTCAGTGAGAGCAAGGAGCAGGATCTTTTCCCAAATCCTGAGTTGGGCTGAGGACTTGCAATTCCCAGTGAAACCAAACTGGCAGGTTGTTTGGTGTCTCTCTGGATTTGGTCCAGTTTTATTACTGCTGGACTCGGGCAGCTTTTTCCCCTCAATGTGGTGATATTGCATGGACTAGACCTAATCTCTCTAAGGACTTGTCTACAGATGAAAATTAATCCAGAATAATTTAGGAATTTAAAGTGGATTAACTATCCATGTGAGGACACTCTAACTCTATATGTGGATGATTTTATTCTAGAATAAATCAGAAATAGCTATACTGGAATAACTCCCTATGTAGACAAGTCCTAGCCTGAGTAGCATAATGGTATTTCAGATGGACCATAGGATAATTCTGCAACTGATGTGGCAATTCCTCTGTTCCTAACTATAAACCAGTGTGTACATGTGACTGGATGTGTAAATCAGTTGGGGAAGGTTTGTTTGATAAGTGAACATTTTTAGTGTCTGGCTTCCAAGGATTAATAAGAACGATCAGTGAGTTTAAAAGAGGATTAATGAAAATTACCTCGAGTGACTTTCAATAGTAGTAGTAGTGTGTGTGTATGTGTATGTGTGTGTGTATGTGTGTATATATATATAAAATGAATGAGGGTTTCAGGATTTATTTTTTTTCCCACAGAAGAGCAACTATGTTAGTTGGAGGGGACAGTGTAGTTTCTTTCCTAAGTGTGAACAAATTGCTTTGTTTCATGATGACAGTTGGCAACGAAATGGCAAATTTAGGCAGCCCACTTACAAACTTCGGGGTATAAAATTCTCACTGGAAAAACAATATAGGGGATATCAAGAAAGTGGTGAAGGGAGGCAATGCTTATAGACTGTTGTTATGGTCTGTCTTTCCATGTCTGCCTCTGCTTTCCTCTATAATAGGCAGATTTCCCCCTCTCTGTTCTGGATGTGCAGAAGATCCAGAATGCAGTGGAACCCTGTGCAGTCCGCAGTGCCTACCTGTTGCACTTACAGCTCTTTGGGGCTCTATGCTTTCTAGTGCAGGGGTAGGTTTTGAAGATGGGAGAGACAGGTGGACTCATAAATGTTTGGATCCACCTGTCAAACTTGCTAATAGGGATGCTTCATCTTTGAGGCTGCAAAGTCTTGGCTGTGGAGCACTTCCCATTTTGACCCTGTGGAAGGACTACTCTTCCTGATCAGTGTGGACATGCCCAGTTTGGCATGCACACCCATTTGCTGAGCAGTGCCATATATACTTACTAAAAATGGCAAACTGCGAGAGAGGGAATGTTGCAGGTTCCTGTGCCTCTTCACTCCATTGTTTACTGAAGACCTGACCTTTGCTTTCACGTATATTGTACTAAATCCAGTGTGAAACTAATATAATTGTTACATGAATCACTGAATTTTCTTTGTGGATCAGCAGATTTCTCCATCTTGTTTTGTCTTCCAAATGTATAGTCACCGCCAACCTGTACCTGTTGAGTGTCTTGCTGAACCACTGGCGCTGGAACACTTTTTACAGTGGGGGTGCTGAAAGCCAGTGGTCCCCAAACTTTTTACTTTGCACCTCCCTTACCCCGTCCGTGCCCCCTCTCCCCAGAGCTGGGG